AGCCATATAGGAAAGTGTGCCGTCCCTGTACAAGCTCGTATTCTCGAGATTCGTGCGGGCGCTCCCGAAATCGAGCCTGCTCGATGAGATTTTCTGACGAGGTTGATGCTGGACGGGAGAAGGGATCGTGGCGCCAGCTTTGGCTGACCCTTTTCTCTCTATCTCTTTGTCCATACTGCCGATTTGCCCAATTGCGTCGCGCCTCTCGCCGCCTCTTTCTCCCTTCGCGCCACTCTGCGCGACCGAATCACAAAGTCCAGAAACCTCGCGTCTTTTGGCAGGCTCGATGATGCACCCATAACTGGAAGTACTCTCTTTGTGTTGTCCTCCCGGGTGACCGCTGCGCGTAGGGGCTGCTTTGGCCTCGCGCTGCCTCTCTTCCGTTGATGCATCTCCTTCATCAACAGTCACATCAAGCGACGGACCAGTGTGCGCAGTAATGGAGTTCACCACATCTTCCGATGGACTTACGTGCGCCTGGCTCTCTTGCACCATTTCGGCCCCGCCTTCTTGTTTCTTGGACGGCTCGGGGGAGTCTTCACCTTCTGCTGCTGCAGCTGACGGTGCGAGATCCGCAGATGCCATGGCAGACTTGCTGGGGGATGCTCCTTCGCCGGATGTGGCTGGGGTACGGTGCTGCTTATCCATGCATTCTGTTTGGGCCTTGTTTAGGAGGATCGGAAAATAAGGCACTTGGAAAATCGCCTTGGTCTTGGAACTCGTGCTCGTGAGCGCGGTTGGGAGCACGGTTCGTGGCCCGAACTCGAAAGAGTCCGATGTGGTGTCTCTGTCCGAAATGGACCCAAACGCAACTGCTGGCGCTGGCACTGATGCCTGACCACCAGCGGCATCCTCTTCTGCGGCCTCAGGTGTCTCGACATCCCTAGAATCCACGTTCCCAGTCGTAGAGCCGTGCTCTCCATCTCCCCCGCTGGCATTCCCGTCGCCAACGTCCCTGAAATCAGCGCCTTCTGGGGGCGCATCCCCACCCCGCCCAACACTCAGCCCACCCGGATCGCCGGATTCCTTCCGCTGCCGACTGCCTTCCCCTTCCGTTCCTCCACGGGAGCTTGCCTCTCCGCTCCTGGGCAGCTCCTCTCTCTTCGCACTGGGTTCATTTGCAGAGGTTTCCTCCGAAGATTCAACTTCCCAGCGACCAGACCCTCCCGCCCCAAGTTCCGACTTCTCTCCGCCGCTGCTCCCATCCCCTTGCCTCGGCCCTTCCTCGATGAGACCCTCATCCCCACTTGCCGATTGGCAAACTCCTCGGGACTCTGGGCGCTCTCCGCACCCTCCCCCAGAACCTTCCTCGCTGCTTCGTCCACCTCCAGAACCCTCGTCGGCGCCCTCCTCTTCAAAATCCGAACAGGCGCCTTCTTCCCCTCCTGGCCCCACCGAATCCACGCAGCTTCCACTGTGTTCAGTAGACTCAGGCGACCCGCTACCACCATTCGACGACTGCGCCCCCTTTCCCTCCCCGCAAGACGAACCACTCCCATCCGAGCTCAGGCGAGCCTCCCGTCCCGATCTCCCACCCCACCCTCCCTCGGGCGGCTCGTCGAGGGGTTCGTCGCTTCCGTCTCGACGAATGCCGGCGCGGTGCGCGTCTTCCGTCCCTGACTCCTCCTGGTCTGTTGCTGCAGTTTGGGAGGCCCCGCACCATTCTTCCGACTGACTGTCGTCTCCTTGTTGTCCGGCCAGAGTTTCGGAAGCGTCCGACGCAGCTTCCTCGGATGTGGCGCGCGTCCCGTCGCTCATGGGCGCCTCGGAAGGTAGTAGACTTTTCTCACATCAGCCTCCCGGGCATCACTGTGCGCAGTGAAGTCAATCAACTGTCGGTTGCCCGCCGCAGGCGAATCTGGGCTGCTTTTAACCTTATGAAAATACGAACAGGAATAACTGGTCGTGGCTGACGAAGTACTTTTACTCCATAGCTGCGTGGAATAAATTCCCTTGACAATGTAACGCAATTGCCCGATGATGGAGATTCCCCCCCCCCCCGCTTCCATTCTCTTGAATTCCTAGTGGCAATTGCCCTTTTCTCGGCAATTGCGACGTTGAGTGAGCAATGGAAAACAGGTTGTGGCTACTCTGAACGGCAGTTCGCCACCGGCTGCGTTGCTGACTGCATCAGATCAGATACTGAACTGTCGATTGCCGCGACGCCACAGAACCTTTGAACAATTATCAGTACGTAGCGACTCAAAATAAGACATCCGCGAGATCGCCTCCGCAAATACCGCACAATCACACCTCCGCAACACACCGCACAATCATACGGACCTCTATTACGTTTTGATATTGGCGCACGGCAGCAGCCTGCGCTGGATGTGCACGTGTCACTGGCGGTCAGAGTCGGTCCTTGGGGCCGGTCAGCCCCCCTTTCATTGGTGCCACCACGCGCCATTCTGCATCCAACAAGACCACCCTGGTGCAACTCACCCTCTTGCCCACGGCAGAATGCCAGCTAATAGTCTGGGCCGCTGCTGAAAGCGACTGACGGTCAGTTGCCGCAGCACCACCGCCCTGCGCCTGTGTTTCTCGCGAACGCCAACACCGAGACCCTGGCTGCATTTTTAAACAGAGCCATTGTTGAGCGTCTGCCCATAGGGCTGGGCCCAGCCGGCAGAAGCTGCCCCTCGTGACAGTGACGTGGCACATTTTTGCGCCCTTTCCGCTTGACGGGAGCCCGGCTTTGATGTTGCCCTCCATAACAATGTATATCTAGCCGGATTCCGTTGCTGTGTCCGCTGATGGCTCAAATCAGCTTCGATCAAAATACCTCCACCAATGGTGGAGCAATGGCGGAACATTGGTGGACCACACTGTACCGACAACTGTCATGTTGTCGTTACACCATGTGAGTGGCAAGGGTTAGTATTCAATTCAAACTCTCGGTTACAAGGCTTCTGTTAGCGAGAGGGACAGGGCGCCAGGTTTCGCCCCGGTGTTCGCAAAGATGCGTTTGCGCATTTTGACCTCGACGTTCTTAGTACCTTCGTCTTCCATTTTCTGTGTTTAGATTCTTCTTCTTCTACGGAGCATTGTCAGCACAGCCGGCAGTTTGGCGTTAAAAATGCAGAAACGATCGCCCACATGCTTTACAGAACTCCTCATGTGTCTCAACAGAACACACAATGGCTGAATGCGGTGTCGCTGACATTAAAATGCAGTGGCAGGGCACTGCTTTGTTGAGGAAGCCTGCTGCTGACCAGATCAATAGAAAAATGCTGCCTGACAACCTCTTGCTGCTGTTGCATTCGCTCTTGCTCTTGAAGCTCTGCTTTCGCACAGACATCGTTTCCGCGCCTACCCAACGTAATGTGACTTGAGGGGAGCGGGTGAAACTCTGTCAATCATCGACTTGTATTCCAGCAGGCCGATTTTCTTGTATCAAATTCAAGCCGCTGCGAGTCTCAGAAGTTCCTCTGGTCTCCAGCCTCGGGTTGTCCTGCTAACGTTGGAGTGTCCAGCTGCAAAATGAAGTTGATTTCCAAGGCGTGTCATTCAGCTATTTCTTTGCTGTCAATGCAGGGCCGAAGTCTACAGAAAATTTGTGCCATTGAGTTCTCAGGAGGAGGGTTGTATTCCTTGTTACCCGCGACCCTGTTCTACATCTTGACATCTCGTTTTGTAGTAAGGTGCAACGCACGATCACTAGCAACATTTTTTAGGCCATTTTCATACATCGATGCAAAATTTTCCGTTGCTTGCAGTGGCTTTGAACATCACTTGGGACAAGTACACCATGTTCAGATTGCCAATAAAATAAATACCTCAAATATTTTGGAGGCACATCAGCCGCAAGATTCAAATCAGGTATATCATGTGCAAGATTCGCACGCAGGGCTTGAGGCCCATGACGATAAGAGTTCAGTTGCAAATGGGGCCACCTTGAAGGGTTGCGACGTCGTGGCTGCCGACGGCTCGTTTAGAATGAGGGGAGCCGGGTCGCATGAAGTTAGAATCCGTTACCAGAGATTCTGCGGGTAAGGTGCCTTTCAAACACAAATTGACAATCGGTCATCTTTCGTTTGCATCATCGCGGGGTTGTGTCCACAAATCCCTACCTCGGCTCAGATATTCCTACGGAATTGCATCGGAATATTCGCTCAGGCGGACAGACTCTCCCAGCGCACATGAACCAATCACATCATTAACTCGAACAAGGGCGTGCCGATCCAACGAGTCTTCAAGCCTGAATAGCTACTCACTCGTCGGGGCTACAGAGCGATAATAATAGTTCGCTTCCCATTCCTTTTCCCGATTAGAGCAATAACAACAGTTATTCCCGTTCCATTATACATCAAGGGAAATACTACACATCAAGGCGAGGAGGTCGCCGCCAGGCACGCATTTTGCCCGAGAAAGGAAGTCCCCATGAACTGTTCATCGAAGTCCAAAAATCCCAGGCATGCTCGGCCGCTCAGTAAACACACGCTGCGCTTAGGCCGCGAAGACCAAGCCCGCACTTCACGGCAACGGCGAAAAAGCGAATACCGCCGCTCGACCGACCGCGCCGAGTTCGATCATCACCTTCTTTCCCCAGGTCGCTGATGTCGTAAAGTACTGGAACGCAGCCTCCCCGCGGAGCCCCTGGGAGCGACCCGACACCCGAGCTCTGCTCGGCAGCGCACGCATTTGCCCCCCCAGGTACGACACATCGGACCGCTGACCCTCAAATCTTGACGCCGCCGCCCCGCGTCACTCCCGGCCTCGCACCGACGGCAGAGGCGCCGGGGCCCCCGGTGGGAACGCCTGGGCCCGTCCGTAGTCCCGACCTCCGACCTTTCGCGCAGCTGCGCAGGGGGGGGGGCTGCCCTCCGGAAAAGCGCCTATCGAGCAACTGCGGCGGCATCGGACGCTTCCTGGCCGATCGGACGATTCCTGGGCGCCTGTCCGGCCGGTTTCGAGGGAGCGAACTGCGAGGCATCCAGCCACTAATTGGCTGACCGGCGATCCCCCTTGGGCGAGCGGCGTTGGCCAGGGCGCTGTGAAGGATGGCTGACGTTCGGGTTCCGCGGCCAACCGCGGACATGCTGGCCGCGCGGCCCTTCACCGGGCTGTGGTTCTCCGCCTCCGAGGAGGAGGCCGCCTTCTGCGACGCCTACACGCGGGGGCGCTTCCGCCTGATGGACCGCCCCTTCCACGCGGTCGACGTGGCCATCACGTTGGCCTTCGGCGTCGTGCAGCTGCGCCAGGACGGCCTGACCCTCAACGGCATCTGGGCGCTGGCCTATGTCGCGATCGAGCTGGCGATCGACTGGGTGTGGGTGGCCTGGGGGGCGGACTCCAGGCCGCGCCTGAGGACCGCGATGGCGATCGCCAAGCGCGGCTCGATCTACGTGTTCGTGGCGCTGCTGGTGGAGATGTTCTTCAGGGTGACGGTGGCGAACGCCCGGTCGTTTGTTCGCTTCATGGTGCTGACGACGGGCGTGCTGGACCTGTCGTTCCACAGCTTCGCCGTCCCGCTGCTGGCGAGGCACCACCTGGCGCTACAGGTGCCCACGGTGGCCTTCATGGTGTTCTACACGCCGGGCCGGGCGTGCTCCGGGGAGACCATCGCCCCCCAGGGGGCGCCCTACTTCGTGGCGGCGTGGCGGTGGCTTCACGCGCTGTGCACGGGCAGGCTGCACGGCACGCCGGTGCCCCAGCCGCATGAATGCTGCCGGGACTTGGTCCTCATGTCGATACTGGTGCTGGGGCTGTGCCTGCCCTCCTACGTCCTGTGGGCTTCGGAGTACAGGGCGAGGACGGAGTTCAGCGGCGGCCCGCTGCCGCCGCTGACATGGGCGACGATGGCCGTGCACGCGATGCTGTTTGTGACATCTGTGTCCTGCCTGTGGGTGGTCCTGCACCCCGAACAGTGATGGGGGAACGATGGGGGCGATGAGCGGAGGGGGGGGGGGCAGGTTCTTTACAGAGGAAGAGGAACAGTTCGTGCCAGAGGGCACCCCCTCCTGAGCGCGAGACTCTTTTCCGAGTTGTGAATGATGGTATAGAGTCGGGCGAGTGGGGGTTGCGCGGCGCCGGGCGGCATTTGGACTTTAGGCTGCGCACTCCGCTTCCAGAGGGCTGGAAGCTGGACGTCTACAAACAAGGTGCGTGCTTGGCAGCCATTTCTGTGCGTTCCTCGAGTGCCTCGAGGTTTGCAAGATTGAGGGATCAGGGCACCTTGGCCTGTCAGAGTAGTCTCAGGAGCTTGGTGAACCTGTGGTCACTATGTTCGAGAGACAAGGCTCGAATCTGATGCATGGCCTTGCGGCGCCCTGGGCCAGCTCAGTTGCAGGACGCCTTGTTCGTCGGACGAATGTGATCATAAAGATGGATGATGATCCCACAATAGGATCCACACCAGGGTGCAGCAGGCATGATCTGGAAAAGGGCCAACTACAATTTCGCTCTGGGTTTGCAGCTCCTGTTGTGAAATAAGTGATGCAAATGGCTGAGGTTGAAAACATGTCCCTCAGCTGTATGTGTGTAATATATGTGCAGTATTTCAAGGATTTGGTTTGTCAGTTGTCGTGACAGATAAGGGCCGTGGACCTTGCAGATGGTGGTGGTCACAGAGACATTTAGACATAGCTTTTGTATCATTGGTCCCAGACCACATGTGTGCAGACCGTGGAAAATGTGAGGCAAAGCAGAAAGAAAATAATACAAAACTCCTTGAAATGTATCCGTTCGACAGCTTTCGACCTTCAGTTGCAAGCCCTACACTGCTCCATGCACGACATAAATGTGGTTGCAGCATGGCAGAATCGTCCAATGGGCCCTTGGCGTTCTACCACCCTCCCGTTCACCCAATGGCGCAGTGATGAATCACTTTTTGAGCTGGTCGCACACGTGACCAATGTCGATGCCAGCAATGCCAAGGAGAGTCACTCGGAACAAAACACAGAGCTCTCGAGCAAGCCAGGCAACGCAAAAGGCGGCGGTTGACTCCACGTCACGTACATTCTTTCGTGGAAGCCAACACAGGTCATACTTCTTCAGCAGAGACACTGTGCTCACACCAAAGAGCTTGGATGGACTCTCAAATGCGATGTGATATTTGGAAGTCCCCTTCAAGAAAGTTCAGAGCTCCAAATGGATAAATTAATGAATCAAGGGGAATATGACCAATTTAAACAGTCACAACATCTACAATCGTCAACATCAACGATCTTTGAAGTCAATTGATTGTTGAATTAGTCAGCTTCATTCATCCTCCCAAATTTCACTGGTAACTTCAACCCATTTTTCCATTTTGCCTCATTTGTTGGCATCCATTTCATGTGGCTGTTGAATGATGTTTTAAAAGTAGGTGTTGAATTCGACAGCCATCCCATGCAGTCCACATCGCGAGCATTGCAAGTACCCCTCTTCTACCTTCATCACAAGTGACCCACCCATTAGAAAGGGCGGGCAGTGTGGGGCGTCGTGAATACCAGGAAGCGTGAATTGACTGCTTCACGAGCCGCTACGACAGAAGAAAAAGCCGTTTTTCGCTGTTTTGGGTCGTCCCAGGAGAGGCGGAAGCGCGTGGTTAAAACGCAAGGGACACGGTCCCTTTTCGCACGCACGTCACGGTGTCTTCCTTGGTTGTGTGATCTTATGTGCGAGCGTTGATTGCTGCGGCGCTCCCGACCAACACGACGCGATTTGCAGGCCCTGATCTGTCACAACTGCACGGCGCGTGCCAGAGTTGAATTCTTGTGTGCATGTCAGTCCAAATATGTCCGCTGGCCTCCATTACTGTTGCCTTGAGAATCGCGCTTGCCACCTGTCCTCAGTACGCTTCAGAGCGCGCGGCAGGCCAAGGTACCGCGTGATGTTTCAGGGAAACTTCGCCCAGATGACGTCCACCAAATCGCACCATGTTTTACAGCCACCCAATCCAGCACCTAAGCTACAGGCGTTACGCATTCACCCACACTTTGTCCATTGCAACAATTCACACCACATCAGGCAAATATGCCGCTGGCGCAGCATTTCAGCCACCCAAGCAACAGCAGGCCTGCCCTGCACATTGACAAGCGACAAACAAGGACAGCGGCACGCGCCTCCTGCAACGGACCCACCACACGGGCTGACGCGCAAGTCTGGTAAATCCGAAACGTGGACAAGCCCCGAGCGACAAAAAGACACCCCGTCCTCTATCAATCCCCGAAAGCAAGTCGCTGGCGGCATCCCTAGCTACACTCAATCGCACACGGCCGTGTTCCACGTAGTTTACAACCAGGTGAGCGGCACTCGAAAGCCTTCTGCTTGCCTTCTCCATGCTTGCAGCTGCCAATTGCGCCGGCCCCCGCCACACAGCGCTGGTGGTGACGGCGAACCGAAACTACCTTGGGCTGCAGGGGACAAAGCGGGATTCCCCAGCAAGCGCTGCCAGGAGGTCAACTTCATTCGAAAGGCATTCTGCCAACACAGGGCCGGGGCTGTTGGAACACAAAATCGGATGCATTCCGGAAGCTCCTGGGAAGGCTCTGGTGACATTCTGATTCAGTTCTGAGGAGCCACTCTGGGACCTTCCCTACAGTGTGTTGTCGTTATCCTTGATCTCCTTCTCCAGATCTTTCTCAAGATCATCCGCCTCCGAGAAGCGCCCTGCCTGCCTGCGTGGTTCAACGCATCAGGTGCATGTCAGAATAGCGGTGCACGCAGCCGCGAGGCGGTTGCAAGGAAACGCCACACCGTTGACGCTCAAAAGAGCCCGACCGCTTCACAGGTCCAACCAAAAAACATGACTTGCAACTACTTGGCACTCTTAAGCCAACATTTGTGACAAAATTCCATGACGCTTATCATCGAAAACACAATCCCACCACCTGGATCATACCCGGATCCCAACATGACTGTCCTCTACATGCAGTTCCATTTTAGATTCTAAATATACTGCAGTTTTACTTTGAATTCCAAATATTGGGCCCTACTTGTGTTCATGTATCATCTTGTACTTCGTCATGTAAGGGTGGTCCCTGATCTTTGCCGCTGTTGTGTAGTCCTCTTCTGAGATGGCCACAGCCATTTGTCGCTTGAGCCTCTTGATCACAACTGGATCAGCTTCTCTGGAAAATCAGCATCGTCGGAGTTCAGACTGTTATGCACAGATACCGCACAACATTCACCCTGCCAAGGTAGTAGCCTTGCCGCTGAAACACTCACACAGTCCAAACGCTAAAATCACTATCCATCTCAAAATATCGTGAACATGGTCACAATTAATCAATCAACCAACCAATGATCCTTTTTCATGGACCTGGTGGTCGTGTCACTAATTGTCTACGTTAATCGTATCAATCGATCTTCCCCCCAAAGCAGGTTGCAACTCTGCCGCACCTGACGCACAAGACCGAGAGTCTGTGCCAAGTAGCCCCAAACGGATGCACATGGACCCAGATTATCAGCACAGTCCTTCACACGTAACTGGCATGGCAGATCACCATAAGTCTGGACCATCCCTACATATATATATCAATGACAGGTGCTTAACACACAATTTGGCTCCAAGGTTTGCCATCCAAGCCCCAGGATGTGGAAGAGCAATTCTGCATTGTGGCAGCAGGCCTGGTGCCGACCTCATTGTTGCTTCTTTCAAAACTAGTGAGTATCATCTTTGACACCAGTCGCGTGGACGTGGACGTTCTTGGCAGATAATTATCAGCCATGGCCATCTGCCACTTACATGCTTCACATCGCCCAACCACAACGGACAGGAGCTTGTCCACACACACCCACAAGCTGTGACTGCCCATTTAGGCCAAACAGCACATCACATTTAATACCAGAACCAATAAATCAGAAACACTCCATAGACTGTGCCAGCATCAACAACCAGCCCTTAATTGCCGTTTAACAATGTTTACCTTATCGAGGTCAGGGGATCCCCGACCTCATCTTCTCGATGGGTGACATGCGAGAACTGTGACATGTTCTCCAGAAGGGCGCGTGTCTGCTCCACCGAGAACACCACCTTCAGGGGCTGGGCACACTCTTCCCAGACAGATTTGTGCACGTACAGGGGACACATCCTCTGCGCACATGCCAACCAAGGAAAACGTCAGCTCTCGGACGAGCATTTTCCCGTCGTGCAGTTCTTGCACTCCAAACTCTTGCATCCCATGTGGAAGGGGATCTAACAGGCTTTCTTCCCCTTGGTCGCAATGTGCATCACATTCTGAACAGCGAAAGCATCACAATAGCAGTGACTTGATCTGAGGGGGGTCTTCCATTGCAACCCCTTCGATAGAGATGAATGGGGCAACGTGGGCAGTTGTTGATGATTTGAAGATTATCGTGACGGACTTGCTGAAATCAACTGGTAAGCAATACCCAACTCAACAAAGCAGATCTCTGCACATCGTTCAGGGGGGGAACATCACGGCTGTCAGTCATGGGAAGCTCTATTGGCACAGTGGTTTGGCTTCGTGCGTTTCACATTGGCTTGCTGCAGTCTGTATTGGTTGGCAACCTTGCTGGCATCTGCCGAACCACCTTTCCAGCCAATAGCTTGCAGCAAAAATCTCATAGGTTCAACACCAACACAATCACCTTCAATGCAAGCCAGCAGCCATCGGAGGGACGGCAGTCGCAATCCCAAGTGATCTCATTGGTGGTTGGATCACCTACACACACACCAACCAAGTCTTGACATCCACTCTGCCGATGACAGCAGCGATTGCCTACAACCACTGGTACAACAGCAACATGCATGCCAAACTCCAAGCCCCTGTAGCCATGTCTCAAACAGCCATGAATGACACATATTGCAAACCAATGCACAGAGACAGGCTCTAGGCATTGCCATATTCCTCTACCTTTGTCTGTGTTATTGGCAAAAAGAGGCAGAATGCTGGACAAGTAAGCAGGCAGTGACGCACCAAAAAACAGCCGGCCAATGAATGTACTCTCTCTAAGCTCGACAATGGCCACATGCAGCAGATGCCAGTCTCGCATGCTGAGCTCTTTGCCACGGTCGAGCAGCTGCAACACAGAACAACAGACTCAGGGCTGCAAAGGAATGAACAGACCAGCCAAGGGAAATGCCAAGGGTGTACACATCTCATGGCTCTGTCCATTCTCTTGTTACATCTTGCACAACTGATCACTGCTGGGTGACAGGAAATCAGCCAACAATATGGAGAAACGCTGTGGATGGAACCAGCCCTGTGATTGAGCTGGAGGCTCAAAGACAGTAGTTCGTAATTCCCTATAAGGAAATCAAGGAATGACCATACACTGCCCTGCAACAGAACACATTCAAGGTTCCCACCTGCAGCAAAAGGTTCAGCGTCATGGGCCTGGGCAGCAAACAGCACGAACCAGGTCAGCGCTCGATGGACAGCTGCTTTCGAACATGGCAAGGGGATGGCAGTGTAGATGGCTTCTTTGAACAGACTCTTCACTCATGCCCATCATCATTCAGGCGACATTCGAGAAAACTGGAATGCTGGTGCAAATCACAACGATCTCCTGAACAAGTACTACCGTGAGACTCCCAACCCATCAGGTAAATGCAGTAAACGGATACAAGACCAGTCATCATAGTCAAAGTTATCGAGTCATCACATCAAACACCAGCATTTCAGATTCTTTTCATTTGATTTTATCAGTAAGGTTCAATCCAAGAGTCCATGCAACCAGCAGAGCCACAAGAACACATGGCTGTTTACTCGTTGTCCCCTTGCCAGCCATTTGGTCAGTTGGATTATAATCTCAGTTCGCACACTGATGCAACACTCATGCCCAGCCAATGCCCAAACCCACAAGTATCATTTTAGTCAAGCTTGCTGTCAGCACCACCCATATTCAATACACATACAGTGGCAACTATTCCAGTGTAAAAGCAAATCCGGTCCCCTTTTCTGAAACTTGGAACCACTGGCATCGTCAGTGAGATACTACTTTCACTTTCTTTGGAGAGCACAATAAACGGTGAGCGACCCACCTTGGTGGTTCCTTATTCTGTGCGTGGTAGGATATTCCCAGCATCGTGTCACCCCCGACCTGCAGCAGCAGACACTTTGCATCCTCTGTGGACGTGGGCTCTGTAGTCTCCTCCATGAGGATCAGCGTCCCTGAGAAGCTCTCATTGGTCTGCACTATGAGCTGAAGGCTCAGCCTGCGCAGGCAAAAACAACATAGGCAAGAGCCCGGATGGAAGTAGAGACAGGATATTCTCGGTGCTTCCACGTATTTTTGCGCTGGACAAAGTTGTGCCATGGTACCTCCAGCCATGATTCAGCTTCTTTTGGTTCAAGGGGGTGCAAGGTTTGGTGCTTAGTTGTGCAACAATTGCCTCAATGGTTCAAGATGTTACCAGCATGCACTGAGTACATCCAAGGCTCCATCAGATCCCGAACAGATGTTGTGGGCAATGCGCCACGAGAACGAGGGGCATGTCAGGCAATGCGTCCCCCCCACCCCCCAGCGCAAGGATGGTGAGACTCTGTTCCCTGCTGTGCAAGAAGGTGCAGCAGTTCGCATAGAGTTATCAAGCCATTCAAAGTGAGCGAGCAGCAGTGTATTCTCAGGGCTGGCAATCCATGTGTATGCAGTACTTCTGTTCAGGCTGTCCGCCCGTTTGCATGTGTTGCAAGACCTTGCATCAGATCATCCCACTCTTGGTAGGTGATGCAGAATGCAAGGTGAAAAGTGCAACAGCGGACAACACGCATAGCAATCAAGGAGGCGAAGAAGAGAGGCGAAGGTTGCCCACCAGCAGGCGACAATTTCGTTGAATCAGGACAAAAGGAAACAAGCACAGTCCAGTGCTCTTCCTCAAGAGCAACACCTTTTGGAGGATCCTTTTTCCACCGAGAGCGATTGTGTTTAGCAGTTTCCAAACCTCAGATGACAACGAGAATTCAAGGGCCACCACAGATGGGCCATCAACGGCAAAGTCGAGTGCGGAACCTGGCACCAAGGCCACCATCAATAACACCTGTCTGCATTGGCTAACCAAACCAAATGCCCAATCTCTGACTGCCTGCGTGCGAGAACATGCGCATCGCGGCGAACCACCGCGCCAGAAGAACGTCTCTGGCTCCGCCTTCGTCGGTCCCCTCCCCATCGCCCCTGGCCCCAAGCCACCGCAGCTCCCACATTTCCCAACGGGCATCGCCATTGTTGAAGCCCACCGGGCAAACCGCCACGTGCCGCGCCGCGTCGCGGCACTGCGCCGCAGACCCGACAGGCAGATTTCCCCCGAGCGTCGCCGACCTGTGGGCCACCGCACCGGACCCGATGCCCGCCACGCCGGCACCAGCGGAGATGGCCCGCGCTCCAAATGCGCTCACCTTTTGTACTGGGACTCGTTGAACTCGTGTCTGTCATCCCCTGCGCCAGACGCATGTAGCCAACGGCCCGTCAGAGAACCCCCTGGCCCAGGGCGGGCAATCCCGACCCCGCCTCCCCGCAACAGGCTTCAACCTGCCGACTCATTTCCAGCCCTGCCAACGCGCGGAACGGCAAACCACACTTCCCACCATCGACATTCCACCCAAGCCTTTGAATGCGATCGAACACAAGAGCGCCTGTCCCCCGGCGAAAAGCCCAGGTCGTCGCCAAAGCCCCCAATCCGCATGGGCCCCCATTGCCGCGCCGAAAAAAACGCTGGCAAAATCAGCGCATCCCGATCCCCATCCCCACCAGCCGCTCCGACGGCCACACGCCGCCGCCTCCTCCTCCGGCTCGCCGGCGGCAGGGCGCTTCGCCCCGGCGCCAATCTTGGCGGCCCCAGCCGGCAGGGCCGGGCCTCCGCCCTGGGCGGATCCCCGCCGCGCGACTTGGGCGCCCGCAGCGCTGCCCGCGGGCCGGGCAGGGAGAGGTGGATGCGATCGGGGCAGGAGGCGCCGGGCAGCCTCGTGGGGTCGCAGTTCACCATCGTCGCGGGCGGGCGGGCTGGCGCATGGCGGCCGCGGGGGCCTGCGTGACGGTCGGCGCCGCGCGCTTGGGCGGGAGGGGAAGGGGGGCGGGGCTTTGAGGCGGGCGGCGGTCGTGTAATGGCGCAAATTGTCCGGGCGGATTCGATGCGGTATCGCGGCTGACTCGCTTGGAATGTGTTGTCGTGGCGTTCGGTTTGCTGTTTGGTTGCGGTTTTGGCAGTATTTTCATAAATTGAAATTTAGTTGCGGTTTTGGCAGTACATTCTTGAATTGAGATTTAGTTGCGGTTTTGGCAGTATTTTCTTGAATTCAAGCTGAAACGGTCTTCGATTTGGTGGCGTTTCCCTGAAATGAGGTGACACGGTCTGTGCCGCCGCTGTGAGCAGCGAATGGCTTCTTAGCTGCTTCCGAGGTACATTGGTTTCACTATGTTGTTCATTAATACCGCCGCCACCTCCTATGGAGCATGCTGCTTGCACCAGTTTATTGCGTGTTAAAGCAGCCTCCATCGCAGCTGCCCATTAGGGCTGATGAGCCGCTGCAGCTGCCTCACTAATGTGAGGACCCAGTCCTTTCACTTCTTCGCACAGGTGCTGCCGAAGCGGGGCACCTCAATTCAGTGTTCTTGAACAAACAAGGCCGGTCATCAAAGCCAAAATGCCTCCACCAACCAGATTCTACGTCGATCATGTCATCACAGCCAACTGATAGGCAATCAGGCAACGGCTCACTTCACTAACAGCACAGGTCGCAGATTGACGCCGACCATTGCGCAGAACCTCGATTTTGAGATGGCAACGCCGTTCAGCAGCGGATGCAAATTTCCTGAGGCTGCTAGGTGGAGGGCAGCGCTCCATTCCAGCCTGGCTCATGCCACGACCAGCGATACGCAGCTGGATTTAGGGATCGCTTTCTAGAGTCTCAGTAGAGCGATCCTGAGCGGTTTGCAACGGAGACCTTGTAACGACTGCTGGCACCTGGGTGTCACCAATGTCGTGTCTGTGATGATGATAGCTCGAACCACCCATGATCGGCACAGTGGGTAACCGAACCGGTGCTCCTTTGCGGCTGAGACACATATCTGTGTGCTTCGAGGGCGCCTGATGTTCGTTTTCTCACGATCGCTGTTTACCGACTCCTCATGCAACTCACCGGATCACCATGAGAACGCAATGAAACGCCACGATCGCTGTACAAGTCGTAAATCGACGCGCTACAAGCTGTACAACAATGGGGCAGTGTCCGCGCTCGCAGACACGACCCCTGGCACGTTCCCGAAGTCGATCGCTTGAGGCGATTGAGCTTGGGCGGCATTGAGGCGTTCACACAAAAACAGGCGCTCCAAGATTTCCGTGGTCAACCAGGTATATGTTAAATTTTTGTCCAAGGCAACAGGCCGGAGGTCAGCTCCCACGGTGGGTGGCTTTCCTCTATAGCGACAGCCCCTTCTCTATTTATAGACCAGCCAGCTATTCCACAACCTTCCAGAGCTTCCTAAGGTACTTCCCGATCAGGCAGATGATCCCTTAGCTGTCATGACACACCTTCGTTAATATCGACCCTTCTCGAACCTTCCAGACGTCCGAACCCCTGTCACACTTGCATTAGGTTACTACGACGACCGTCTCGCGGCCTCCATGATCGCATCAACGCCCCTTTGATTCGGTCCCATGGCCTCCTGTCCAATCGCGCGCACGCCCTGCGTTCCGCCGCCCACAAGTCGCCTGAGTCTGCCCTCGCTTGCCCCCCCATGCCTCCGCCACGGGCGCCAGCGCCTCGCTCGCGCCCCCTATCGCTGAGCAGGCCTTCACATCCAGCGCCGCGCCCAGCCATCCATCAAGCCATGGATTCCGGCATCCCTTAGGGCCATCGGAGCTTGGCATGGACATGCAAAATTCATGCATGGTGAGACGAATCGCTGCCATGCGAGCAGTACACTAGGAAAAAAGGGCCAAATAATACGTGTTCAAATGTGTACAAAGTTTACGGGTTTGGGGTTATTTTCTTGTTTTTAGCTTGCAGAACACTAACGAAATGCATACATATGTGTTCGCAAAAAGTGTTGTTTGGTCCTTTTTCTGCAAGTGGTACCACCAAGCCCACTCAATTCCGCCATCGCCATCGTCGTCATCGAGGCTTGGCTGTCCACGCTCCCCCGACTGGCCGCTCGGGGGGTGGTCCCAGTCAGCTGCCGTATGTCAGCAGCGAGCCCATCATTGTGCAGACGTGGCACAATGACTAACGGCGAGTTTAACATGTGGGTGTGGGGAATAGTTGTCTTCAGCACGCTAAGAGACAAGTCTCCCAGGGCTGGGAGTTGAACGGACGACGGTGCCTTCGCCTTGAACTGTTGCGGAAAGAACTGGCAAAGGGTGGTAAGGGAAGTCGTTCTAGAATGGCTCGCCAGTTCCCACCAACCCAGCCGAAATCCCTTTGCACTTAGCGTCGCGCAACGAACAGGGAGATTGGGAACCCTACAGCTCCGTGCGAGTTCCCCGAAGGACCAAACACGCTGCATAACAATCCCCGCGCCAAACAGCGCAACAGGACTACCAAAAGTGGTGAAGCGTAAGTCTGTCGCTTTCCGCGGTTTGAGCTGCGAACTTTTATCCATGGACAAGCCGAGTAGAACGCAGGATTCGTCCACACTCCTCAGGTCGCAATTGTCGACCAAGAGTCAAAAAAACGGAGCAAAGAAAATCCCCATCACCTTCCCCAGCTGTCCCTGTCCCGCACCACACGGCCCCGCGCGCCTCCCCAAAATCCAGTCAAGCCCTTCGCGGAGCCCTGCTCGCTCCCTCTCGCCCCTTCCCGCCTCCCCTCCCTTCCCCCCCCTCCCTCCCCCCCGCCTCCGGCCCCTTCGACTCGCCGCCCGGCCCCCGGGCGCCGGTCAGTATAAGCTGCTTCGGGCGCTGGCCCGGCGGTGGGGCCACGGCCATGGGGCCGTGGGGCCGCCTCGTGGAGACGATCTCCTCCCGGCTGGCCTTCTTCCCGCCGTCGCCACCGACCTACCAGCTGCTGACGCACCAGGACGGCACCGGGGAGCTCTACATCCAGCCGGACCTCCCGTGCGTGAATCTCCCCTCCACCCTTGTTCCCCCACCCCCACTTTCACCCCCCGCCTGGACCCCTCTCGGGGTTGAGATTATTTACAAAGAGGAAAAGAACTGGCCCTGCGAAGTGCGCCCCTCCCAAGCAAGTGTGCACGAGTCTCCTCTCTGTCCAGCAAAAGATGGTACAGAGGTTCCCATGCGAAATGATGACCACACAGCGGAAGCCCCCGCGAGGGGGTGATGCTGAGATGCTGAAATACTGGGATGTAGCTGGCGCCCTCGATCGAGATGGGAGGGCTGGATCCCGCGTGGGGTCGCACAAATGGGCGTAGCGGCGCGCCGCCCTCGCCCGTTTGCCGGTCGGCGTCTGCGACGACTGGAGCGCCGGCGACCCGCCTGACGCGAACGTCGGCGGGCGTTTTTGTTCGGCGCTCACCTGGCCGGGGGGCTGCAATTTCCCCGCCCGCTCCTCCCCGTGGGGCGGAGTCCCTGGCGGAGGATCCGCACCCAGCGGGGCGGTCCCAGATGTTTTGGTGGCCTGCGCCTGGGCGGCGACGGGGCCTTGGAGCCCGGCAGTGCGGGGCCGACGGCCGATCGCCCGCAGCGATCGCCGTCGTTGGGCGGAAGGCCTTCGCGGAGCGCTGCGAGTGGAGGGATCGCGGGGTGGTCTCTGTGGCGTACGCGGGATACCGTGGACTTTCCACCAAGCTGGGTGCGTCGAATTGTTGATTGGTTGATTTTCAGGCCGCCTGAATGGCTGGGTGCTGGGGGCGCAGGCAATTGCAGAAGGTGCTGGGGTGCGACGTGTTCATGGTAAAGGTCCCGCGCGGGGAGGCGCACGAGATCGTGGCGGCCCGCATCCCCTACAGGCCGCCCGGAGGCGTCCAGAACAAGCGGATTCTGACGATGCTCTACTCGCACGGGAATGCGGTGGACATGGGGCAGCTCATGCCCTTCTTCAAGTGGGTGTCAGTGGGCGGCTCGCGACTCGAACTGGAAAGCCCGAGGCATGGGTGGCGCGTTTTTGGTCGGTCTGTGGGAGGGGGTTGGCACGGTTGAGTTAGTTGGGATGTCAATGTTTTGATCGTATCTGCCTACAAGTGACGAAGGGCTGCCCTTGCACTTTCAAGGCACTAGAGCATGCATTCCAAATGCAGCTTTGTACCAGGACATTTTGATTATCTACGTGCAGAGCCAATGCTCAAGAAGGCGAATTGGAGGGGCAATTCGTCGCAAATAGTATCGTATGAGCATTGCAATTGCATTCTCCAAATTGGCTGAGACAGCCATAGTCAGCTGAACAGCCAGAACACCACATTGGTGTGTGGCTGTGAGAAAATTCGTTTTCAACTGCAACCTGTCATGCTACGGGCACCTATGGCAGCTGTTTCAACAATCTCTTTTGCGAAGTGACTTTGAGACCCCCTTTTCTATACTCTAGACTGTGATGCTGAACTCTCTGGGTACAACATCAGTACACAACATGGTGGCAGCGTTGTGTGCAAAGTGCATTGTCTTTGTGTTGCCCTTTACTTTGGAAAACTGGCATCAAAGACGTTCGCAACACAACGATGGAAAAACTTCCTCAAAAGTCCTGCATGCATCAGGGAACTGTCGAGCCGGCTGGGCTGCCACGTGATGGGCTATGATTATTCCGGGTACGGCTGCAGCAGCGGCACCCCAAGTGTTCGAAACACGCTGGCCAATGTGAAGGCATGCTTTCAAGTCCTTAAGGAGAAGTACAACACACCCGCCAAGGACATCATCTTATATGGGCAGTCTGTTGGCAGCGGACCAACGGTGGGTGGCATACGCCTATTAAATTTGCGTCATTTTTTGAACGCATGTGGAAAGGAAACATGCAATGCACACGGAAAGGGCACAGTCAATGCTTGCCTGAACATTGAATGCAACAAGCTATTTGTTATGGCTGCTGATTGGGTGTGTTGACAATTTGAGACTGCCCAATCACCTGGCCGAAAAGGGATGCAGGGCTGCAGAGTTGATGTGCTCATTTTGCACTGCTGTTGTGACATGTGCAAGGGCGATGGAATGTTGTTGTGCATTGTCTTATCAAAAGTGTGGAAGAGGATCTTGGATGTTCGTGGATTAAAGTTTGCCAGCAAAATGGGACGAGCCAAGCTTTTGCATCTTGTGAGCGATCGCAGGTATAGCAGCATGTGGCAAGCTACCGTTTTGAATCACCAAAACCATAGCAGGCAGACTCAGTTCAAGGCTGTGAAATGAGATGGGGTTCCCTGTGTGCAGGAAGCACGAAACAAGTTCCGCTGCAGTGTAGATTCCAGTGGGGTGTTGTGTTTTTCCTTTCTTGGAGCTTCTCTGTCGTTTCTGGTGTTGCTGTGGTGTGCAACCTCAGGTGCACTGTGCCAGAAAGATGGCTGCTTGGTCTTGCGGGATTGTGAAACCATGTATTGCTCGGCGTTGCTACACCACGCCAGACCCCAAAGTTCGTGTTTCTGATATGCTGAAGTGATGGGGACATGAAGTCTCATATACAACCTCCTAAAAGCCTATCACAAGTGTTCAAGAGTCCAAAGTGTTTCAAATTCTTGAAACACGTCGTGGTGACACATCTGAAGGGCCCATCAGTGTCGTGCAGTTCTTGTGGAATCATTGATTGAGTTTTGCATCATGGGTCACAGTGTTTCCTGAACAGTGCATCAACAGGACCCCATAGTTCCATGGTTCCTTTGCAACACCAACTCTTTCTATAGAGGTACTCATTCCAACTAATCCCTTTGGAAATCCAGCGCAGATAGCATATCTTGTGCAAATCGCTCTGGGAATGTGACCATCATCACCTTCAAAGGTCCAGGGCAGTGTTGTGTGAGATCACAGCTTAGTCTTGTGTCTGGCAGATTCTTTGGCATTATTTCTATAATAGAAATAATGCAATAATGCAATAATTGCATTTGCATGCAGGTGTATCTTGGTTCAGAAGAACCACAACTTGCAGGGGTTGTGCTGCATGCTCCCCTAATGTCAGGCATCAGAGTGCTCTACCCGAACCTGAAGTGGTGGCCCTCCTGGGCTGATGTGTACCGGAACTACCAGCTCATGCCCAAGGTCAAGGCACCAGTGCTGATCATGCATGTAAGGACGGCTGAGGGTGCGCAATCGATCCCTGGAACACTTTGTCGATGACGGCTATCGAACCTTTGCCCTACTCCCTAAGGATTTAACTGCGGCATCCCTCATGCGTTGCCAAGCCTGTACCAGACCGCTGCAGGCTTACGATGTCATTAGTGCAAAGTGCCCTTGGTGAGTAACGGCCAGCGCAATAGATCGTGCATCACTCCCAGTCCCTGACATTTTTCTTTTGCCAGTGGGCTGTCAAGAGCTTGGGAAGATACTCTCTTGCGCTTGCCAGATATTCACGATGGGGCCACAGCACTGGTCCATGGTAAATTTGGCGTTTGTGCGTTGACGAAGGCAGGCAGGATCGAGGGGTGGCGATCCCTGAACGGGAATTGTATGCTCGAGTCCACGGCAACGGTTAACAGCCGAGGCAAAAGGACAAGAGACATTCCGTCCTTTATACTCAGTCTGTTCATCAACATCTTTAATGCAATTCCTAGTGCTTCGTCATCTTTTCATGCATTCAGTTATTAGTAACACTCAATCAGTTCTAGCCATAACAGCGTCTAATGGAGAATATACGCCATAACAGCGTAGAAGCTAATGGAGAATATCAAAACCCAAACGCAAGTTAGAAGTAAAAACATGTGTAAATCCAGTTACTGTCGCTGTTCGTTGCGAGTGTGTGACGACAACTGTGGAAAAGTCCGCAACCCTGCTGATGAATGGTGACAGCAATATCAACTCATAAGCATTGCCCTTTCAGGTGGAGCGGGTCAACATTGTGCTGCAAAGTGCTGTGGTTTGTGCCAGTTTGTCTTGCTTTGTTTTGATCGATACTCAGTATCAATGCCCACCGGGGATCAACATTTGCTTTTTGCACATGTGAAGGGTGGCTGTCAACGAAAACAGTCAAAATACGCGGTTTGATCCATTGTTCACGCTATGTACATTGTCTATAGCAATCGTTATTAAGTTGTCAGCATTGCATTAATTTGATCTACTGTGTGTTGGAACATAGCAATTTGCGAATTCAGCAATTCACCACGATCTGCACTGGTAATGAAATCGAGCGAAGAAGAAATTGAGAGAACATTGGGTGACTAAATGAAATCGAGCGAAGAAGAAATTGAGAGAACATTGGGTGACTAAATGACTTCATACATTCTCTAAAAGGCAGCATGAGAAATGAGTGAGATTTTGTCGTGGCTGATGCGAATGTGGGCCCTGTCCACATGCAGGCGCCGTGCCTCCCTTTGTCTAAAGTTTCTCTACCTGTAGACGAACATATTACATTATTCTCTTCTCATTGGATGCCACATCCTCTCAACAGTGAGCCTCCACACGTCCAATGTGCACTGACAGCGCTTTGGCCACCTTCGCAATGCATGTCTTCGCTCGATAATTTTCCGAGCCCAGTTGCAGTACGTCCGGTGCCGCACGTGCCTTCACTTGCATTCTTTCAAAGATCGAGCAGGGGAGGATGCACGCGTGTTGCTGAGATGCGGCCGAGTGCGATGGCAGGGAATGAAGGACGACCTCATCGACGTGTCGCACGGCAAGATGCTCCACTCCCTGGCCCAGAACCCCGTGGAGCCCCTGTACCCTGAGAATTCAAACCACCAGAACTTGGAAGCCTGCCCCGAGTACTTCCCCACCCTCCAGAAGTTCGTCAAGGCCATGGCCACGAAGAGTAGCTAACGGCAGCAGCGAAGGAAGGCCGGGCGGCGGGTGGGGGGGAGGGGCTGCTTGGAGCTGAGTGTTGTTTTGTTATGGGAAGGGGGAGTTGCTTGGGGTGCGGTGGTGGAAGTTGGCTGCCGTGTTCGGCAGGATGGAACCCAGAGTGAAGCGTGGGCTCCGTTTGAGAAGGAGTAGTCAGTTGGACGCCTGGGCTGGCTGCTGGGTCCTTTGGCAAGCTGGTTGGGTCTGGGTCTGGGTCTGGGATTTTGAATTTTAGATGGGGAGAGGTGCAAGGGATGCGGCAGAACCGACAAAGAACGAGCGAATTTGATCCAGAACTGAGTCGTCAAAGGTGTAAGAATTCATGGAGTTGGCTTTCACCAACAAAGCGGGCTTGTCTGTGGAGGGTGCGAGGGCCTTGGCAGCATCTCCCCGGCCTGAAATGGGTGGTCTTAATCCCATGCAGACACGGAAATCGCTTTCGATTCTGTGAAGCAAAGGGACAATTTACAGCAACACAGCCGTTTGCCACAATCCCATTTCAGAGGTGGGATGATGTGTGCTTGAGGTGATCCTATTGGTGTGACCGCGTTACACGTTTGAGGACTTGCCAGAATGCATGTGTCCTTCGCGGATCAACGGCACCTTGCAGCGCGCTCTCCGCCCGTTCCGCCGAACGTGTGCGCCCCCAGCGTGCGGCAAACCGCGCAACAAGGCCCGCTGCGGGACGATGCGGGCCATTCTGGCAATCTATCAACGCCCCGAAGAGCGGTACCGACCCGGCCTCGAGTCGCTGACTTCGCAGTGCCGTTCAGCCAGCTCGCTCCAACCTCAGTGCGAGATCATTCGGTGTCCAATTCAATCATCCCGACCTGCACCTGATGCGCACGAAGGATGCCGAACGGAGGGGCCGCCCTGCCAGATGTGAAACCCCAACGGTGCGCACGGCCCGTGAATCCGTGCAAAGTTGGCGAAATGGCCTCCGCGATCTTCCTCCCAGGGGATGACTACCGGCTGGTACAACACACCGGCTCCCGGTGCCATCGTGAGTTTGCACGACCAAGGCCCCTCTTCTCGGACGGGCGGCCGGCTGCCAGTACGTGTGCCGCCGTCGCGGCTGAAAGTACTGACCAAGATTTGACACCATCGGCGGGCGCCTCAACCGCATCCCGGTCCAAGGGAGAATATAAGTGTGCGGCGCGGCGGCCTGGCCTCGTAGGTTAACATCTTTGTAGGGGGGCCGGGTTGGACGCGAGGTCGGCGGGAGCTCGGGGAAAAGGGGCTGCCGAGGCGCAGGCGCGCGCCACCCCGGCTGGGCGAGCTACCGAGACAGCTTAAGGTGCTGGACCTCTGAACTCTGGTGCGAGCAATGCCAAACTCTGGGCCGCTGGGAGACGGAGGCCACATCGCCGGCGCAAGTCGCCGATCGGCGGTATCCCGAGCAGATTGCTCTCACCAGGGTGCAGATGCGCGGAAACTTGGCCTCGACGACTCCGCCGATGCCCTGATCGGCCCGTGCCGCCAATGCTGTTATTCGCCAAGCAAGCGGCCCATCGGATCTATTGATTTTCCCGCGATGCAGCCCACGCGCCGATACGAATGGCCGATCGCCCTCCGCGCCGACGAGACGGCTACCGGCGAGGGGAGCGGCGCCGTCGATCGGGGGACGCCCGCGTGAAGATCGCTCGCGTGCTTTCTCGGGCGCACATATACTCGCATGCATGTTTCACAATAACAATGCTGTCGGTCACCTCGTCGACCAGCCCCCTCGCGCTTTCCTCGCCGGCCCACCGCTGATGACGTCGTGTGTTTTGCCGCGCGCAGGGCGGGACTGCTTAACCTACTCGAAGACGCGAGCGGCGATGGGCCCGCGAGCGCACTGCGCGCTCGTGGCGCTTGCCACATTTTTATTGTGCTGCCAAGGGTGAGTGCCCGGCGCCATTTACATTGCGCATCCTAGAGCGTGCAGCGGATGCTTGTGCCGAGGCTTGCGCGTCGTTGCTAGTGGCCGGAGGTGCATGGCGGTGGGCTGATCGCCCGTGCAGCGCCCTGCGCCCATCCAACATCGCGTGTGCTGCCGTCAGAAGCACATTCTCACGGTTTGCCACGCGCCGCCCATCCCCCAGCTGCCAATTGCGACGATAGGGCCATGCTGGCAAGCCGGGCCGGAGGCGCGCTGTGTACCGCAATGTATGGTGCCGCGCGTTCTTGGCGGGAAGCAGGGATAATGTACTGCCGTCGTCCGCCACCCGGCGGCGGGCGGAGCCGCCGGGCTGCCAGTTCAGACGGCGGTGGGAATCTTGGCGCGATCGCAGCCTGGGACAGGGCGCTTCAGCACGGAAACCAGTCACACTGCAAGTAAATCAGCCAGTCCTGTGCGCCGACAGTCAATTCTCCGGCATGACAGCATCCGCGTCACGGAGGCCGCTGTGCTTATTCACCCATCGAAAACCGCCACTTGTCGCTTGTGATGCCGGGCCCCCACGCTGTCTCTACTCGCGCAGAAGTGACTAGAATAGGCTCAAGCGGATTTTGCTTTTGGGCTCTCGTTTCGCGAGCACGGTCGCTGAATGGATCCGACTGATGCCTCCTCGGCTGCTGCCCCGTTACGGGACCGAAGTCCATCGCGCCGGTTGAGATGGTCCAGGAGCACCCTGTCCGTGTCATAGCGGTCATTTTTGCGTTTCGCACAGCGCAAGCCGACGCGCCTGCTGTCTGCTCGGAACCAGGAGGACGGTGCATCAAGGGCGCCCCAAACTGATTCTGCCTCCCAAAGAATGGCACCTACCTGGTTCACCTCCGTCGCCACTTCCGCCGCCACCCCTCGCTCTCCCGCATTGAACTCCGTGGTGGCTGCCCACCGAAAGCACCTCGCCCGTCCTGCGGCGTTGCCAACAGGGACGGCGCGGCTTTCTGACCCCTTTCTCCGCCCTGTAAAGATTGATTGCTCGAATGTTGTCCAGTCGTCCTCCGCACGCAAGACATCGACGTCCCCGCAGCGCCCAGTCCGCCTCACCCCGCCACTCAACCCCCTTTTTGCCCCACCCGCGCAGGCGGCAGCTTAACTGGGGAACGCCGTCGAGCACGTCCAGGTCGAGGAGCACAGTGTACGTGTCCTACCCGGGCACCTCTAAGACCACAACCACCACCTACTGGCCCTCCGAGCCCTCGCCCAGCTACACCTACACCAAGCCGGTGTACAACCCGGGCTACTACACTCCAGCGACGCCTCACGTCGTGCCAGAGCCGCCACATGTGGCGCCAACGCCGCCCACATACCCCCCACCGCCACCCCCACCCCCACCCCCACCGCCACCCCCACCCCCACCCCCACCGCCACCCCCAGCAGCCCCCGAGCGGCCAGTTGTGTTGACGAAGGATGCCTGCGTGTGCACCGTGGTGGAGAGCAGCGCCTGCTGCGCGTACATGGTGGAGTACTGCGAGGCGCTGTCCCTGTGCAAGAGCGTGACGCGCTTCTGCGGTGACGGGCACATGGAAGACGCCGCCGCGCTGGCCAACCTGGAGCAGTACTTCCTGAAGCACCTGGACTTCTGCGGTGGGTTCACGGGCTCTGGGTGGGCTGCGTTGGTCGATGTGCGGAAAGCCGCAGCCCGTGCAGTTTGAACTGTCGACGTGTGTCAAGGGGGGCTGCTTGGGGCACTTGCAACAGTGGAAACGGTGGTGTCCGTTGGGTGGTGATGATTGATGAGGCATGGATCTGGCTGTTCCAGTTTCTGGTGGTGAGTTTGGGGGACTGCTGTTGTCTTTGCCTGGCGCTGCAAGCTGTCAGGCTTTCTTTTACACCCTGAGCGAGGGACGCTCGCTGGCGTGCTTAAGGAGATGGTGCACCGAATTGCTGTCGGTGCACGGTTGCAGCTCCAGGAAACCGTTTAAGAATGTTTCCCCTGCCGCCGCGATCCTGCCATAGCAGTTTCACTGATGCCTTGAGCCTGCCTGCCTCGCAGTACCGGAGCCCGCCCCAGTGGCGACGCCGGGGGTGGGCGGGGACACCGTCCGGTTGATCGAAGGACCCCCGGGCCCGCCGGGCCCCAAGGGCGAAAAGGGCGACAAGGGCGACAAGGGAGACAAAGGGGACAAGGGCGATCCCGGAGCCCCAGGAGCGCCCGGCCTGCCTGGCGAGCCCGGCCTCGACGGCGCCCCAGGCATTCCCGGCGGAAAGGGTGATTCAGGAGATCCAGGCACGCCTGGGACGCCCGGAATGAAGGGGGAGCCTGGAGAGCCAGGAGCACCCGGGCTGCCAGGGGCACCGGGCTTCGATGGAGAGCCAGGTCTTCCAGGATTCGGCAATCCGGGCTCTCCAGGAAAGGACGGGATCCCGGGGGCTCCCGGATTGGACGGAGAGGACGGCCTGCCGGGAGGTCCGGGTGCCCCCGGCGCCCCAGGGCTGGACGGCGCGCCGGGCACTCCCGGCAGTGATGGCGAGCCAGGCGTTCCCGGCGCACCAGGCAGGGACGGCATCGACGGCAACCCCGGCCAGCCTGGTGCGCCTGGCGGCCCCGGCGCTGACGGACTGCCTGGGGCCCCTGGTGGACCCGGGGCCCCAGGTTTCGACGGGGCACCAGGGGAGAAGGGCGAGCCGGGCGAACCAGGCATTGGATTGGTGGGGGCTCCGGGAGAGCCGGGTGCTGATGGCGCCCCAGGGGCGCCTGGCGTGGGGATCGTCGGGCCGCCAGGCGAGCAAGGAGCGCCCGGAGCGCCGGGCGTGGGTATCCCGGGCAAGGACGGCGAGCCGGGCGTCCCGGGCAGGGATGGTGCCGAGGGCATTCCGGGCGCCCCGGGTGCTCCGGGCGGCCAGGGTGCCCCGGGCGCGCCGGGCAAGGACGGCGACGACGGCATCGGACTGCCGGGCGCCCCGGGCGCACCAGGACTCGACGGTGCGTCAGGAGCGCCTGGGCTGGACGGCGCCCCAGGTGCACCGGGATTTGATGGAACCCCTGGCCTTCCAGGCGCTCCCGGCGGCCCTGGCCCTGCCGGTGCACCGGGCGCACCAGGCGTTGGCATCCCTGGCAGTGACGGTGCGCCAGGCGTCCCAGGCCTGGACGGCAGCGACGGCGCACCAGGTGTCCCGGGATCGCCCGGCGCTCCAGGCTTGGATGGGGCGCCCGGCGCGAAGGGCGAGCCAGGAACAGCGGGAGCAGTTGGCGCCAACGGGGCCCCGGGCGCCGACGGTGCTCCCGGCGCGCCGGGCGCAGATGGCCTAACGGGGGCCCCAGGGTCCCCAGGCGCTCCGGGCAAGGACGGCGAGGACGGCGTTGGAATTCCGGGGTCCCCGGGCGCGCCAGGACTTGACGGCGCTTCAGGAGCACCTGGGCTGGACGGCGCCCCAGGTGCACCGGGACTCGATGGTACCCCTGGTCTTCCAGGGGCTCCTGGCGGTCCCGGCCCCGCCGGTGCACCAGGCGCTCCAGGTGTGGGGATCCCTGGCGCGGACGGCCAACCAGGCGCCCCAGGCGCCCCAGGCGCAAGCATCCCAGGCGAACCGGGCCTGGACGGCGCCCCGGGAGCTCCCGGCGCTCCGGGCGCGCCAGGCGTAGGCATCCCGGGCAAGGACGGCGCCCCAGGAGCACCGGGATTCGATGGTGCCCCCGGCGTTCCAGGCACTCCGGGCGGTCCCGGCCCCGCCGGGGCACCGGGCGCGCCAGGCGTTGGGATCCGCGGCGTGGACGGCCAACCAGGCGCACCAGGTGCCCCAGGCGTGGGCCTGCCGGGCGAACCGGGGCTCGATGGCGGCCCAGGCGCTCCGGGGGCTCCGGGCGCGCCAGGCGTGGGCATTCCCGGCGAGGACGGCGAGCCTGGCGCCCCAGGCTCCCCGGGCGTGGGCATCCCGGGCAAGGACGGATTGGACGGCGCTCCGGGCGCCCCGGGGGCCCCGGGGGTCGGCCAACCGGGCTCGCGGGGCCCAGAGGGCGCCCCGGGCGAGCCGGGCGCACCGGGCACCCCGGGGAGCAAGGGGGAGCCCGGGGCGCCCGGTGTGGGCCTGCCGGGAGCGCCGGGGGCGGATGGATTGCCCGGAGGCCCGGGCGCCCCCGGCGCGCCGGGAGAGAGGGGCGAGCGCGGGCCCGAGGGCCTGACCGGCCTGCCGGGCGTGCCGGGCACCCCCGGCAAGTTCGTGGGATCCGGGGATGTGGCAGGGCAGACGGTGAAGGGCGGGGAGAAGAAGGGGTACGCGCCGGCGAGCAAGGCCGGGTATCACGGCGGGGAGTCCGGCGGAAGGCTGCGAGGTGAGGGGAGGAATTGCCGCCGCGGCGCCATTGTCTGGTTGGCTAGGTTGTCGTGGTTCCCTGAATCTCAAGCGGACGCGGGATGCCCGGGTGAAGGCCAAAAGCGCCGATTGCCGCACGGTGGCTCGGGCGGGCTCAGGCCCTCCTCGCGTTTCGGACGACATCGCGTGCTTCTCTGCGGGGACCATCGCTCGGTCCCGCGTGGCGTGCACGTCCATCCCAAGAGTTCTGCGATGCATTCCCTTGCGCACCCTGACCCGCAAGTTCTATTGTGCATTTCCTTGCACGCGAGCCTTGCACGTCCGCCGCTCCAACATCCTACTACCCCGCGTTTTCTTGCGTTCGCTCGCTTCCCCGTCCCCGGATTCACGCGCGCACGTGCCTTGTCGTCCACCGCAGAGATCCTCGCCGCCCTGGAGGAGAACAACCTCCTGGCCGACGAGGACATGTTCCGGCGCGCGGGCCTTGTGGAAATCCTGGACGACCCCGAGGTGCCCGTCACTTGCTTCGTGCCCACCGAGGAGGTCGCCACCCGCACCCTGGCGGGCAAGGACGACGCCACGCTGGCGACCGTGCTGCCCTTCCACATCGTGGTGGGCGAGATTCTCAACAGCGGGGATTGGATCGACGGCCAGTCCTACGAGACGGCGCTCCAGGCAAGCCCGTGCGGGCTCACCACGCTGGAGCTCAAGCTGAAGACGGTGCCCATGGTGGTGGGCGGGGCGGACACAGCGGCCAGTATCGTCAACGTGGATGTGGCCGTCACCAACGGCGTGGTCCACGCCATCGACATGGTACTGCTGCCGTGCCCCATCGGCTACTGATTCCCGAGTCCAGCCGCGCCGTTCGACCCGCCCGCCCCCCCTTGAAACAGCTGAGGAGACTTGGAGAACTGCACGTATTGCTGCCGCCCTGGAGTCGGGGCGGCTGTTGGGGCACTGGGGCGCCGCTCGCGGGCTGCGCGTCTGCGGGCGCCCCATTTTGGTGCTGTACTAGTACACGCTGTTTTTACGCAATCCTGGGAGGACATGTTTTTGTTTTATTCCAGTCGGGCGTCGGGGCGCTTGGCGCTTCACGAGGACATGGGCATGGGGACACTTGACAGTGAATAAATCTGGAAGGACGTTCGCGTTGGCGTAGAGAGAAGGTGCAGCAGGGAGAGCTATTCAGCTGGCAAGAAGCTATATAGGATTTACAAGGTGCGTTTTGCTTTCAAGAATCTTTAAGGAATCTATTGCTCGGCGTAAGCGCGCCAATTTTATTGTGCACGCGCGCACGTTGCCCAGTGGAGGAAGGCGTGGGGATTGCAGCTCGCTCCCTGAATGGGAAGGTTGAATCTTCTGCAGCGCTGAGATGTAAAGTCCATGGGCTATGTATCTCATCGCATAAAGCTCAACACAAGGTGTGGGGGCGGCACTCACTTGGTGCATGTGGCCGTTGGAGCAAAATTGCAATTGTTGAGCTGCGCGCTGCGCAAAATGGCCGACGAATGGACCCAGAATTTGGGTGGGGCGCCCAGAAGACGATGTGGGACAGTGCCCCCACAGGCGGCATTCAACACCCGCGCTACTTCCAGTGATGCTAATGAGATCACAGCAAGGGCGGGAACAGCAGATTTTGGAAAATGTGTCCATGCAGAATCCAGCAAGGAAGCCCTCATCTCTATCTCGCAGCGTCCCATCTTGAAATATTGTCCACGGCGGGTGCATCCTGACTAGAGGTTTCCAGATGCGGTGATAACTGACCGCGAGCCGCATCGCAACGTGCCTGATGAGGCACAAGACGGGCGAATCATTTGGCAAAGTCAGTTGCGACCCGCGCCCTTCTGAGAAAAAAAGGGTTGCGTATTTAAGGAGACGCTTACGCTAAATGACACCGACACACAAGATTTTGTTCGAGGGTTAAAATCATTCCAAGGAATGACAAACTGAGAATGCGGTGGCTGCGGCTGTTGCTGCCCAGCAGAAATCCTGACGCAAACCCATGCGTCATTCAGCCTCGCCAATTTCTTGGCGGGTAGATGGCCAGCGGATCGACTTTGTCGCAACATGACCGCCGATACCATTGCGCGCAGCCACTGAGTCCGAGAGCCCGCGAAATGGAAGTATTGGACTATCGCGGGTAACACAGGACTGACATCGGTGGGAAACATGGACCCTTGGGGAATCGGTACTAACGCATGTCTGGGCCGTGAAATTGACCCTTAGCCACTGAGCATTTAAGATGTCTGGCCGGGCATCACGTGGCTGGGACGTTTTGATTTTCATATCAGGCAAGTGAATGCACTGGGTGCTGCGACTGGCGTTCATGTTGCGCTTTCGAACGCCTTGCCCAACGCGGTCCTCTTCACCCTGTCAGCCTGGAAATGGGTCTGCTTCAGTGATGCCATCATGGCGCCCGTGCACTTCCTCATTCTTGTGTGGAACATGGCCTTGGAGCACTTGATGTGATAGGCTATGAATGCCCGAAATGTCGCCACGTTCCACAAAACCTGAGGAAACATTCAATGCTTTTGCCGATTTTGCAAGACTCCTTTAACAATTAAGAGCACAAATTTCATATCGCTTTATTCGAATGTTACTGGGTTTTAGGTCTATCTGCACATGTATCGTTAAGTTATATATCCAGTTGCACTCTTATGTGTTACAGCATATGACAAAAGACTGCCCATGTATTCACAGATAAGAGAATTGGGCCATCCAAGCACGTATATTGTTGGTTGGATATATCCATGTTCAGATTATGCAAACTGAACAACACAACATGTAACGCATTGCTTCAATCTATCTTGCTTTAAACAAAGCCCAATTTGCAGTAATATTAGTTGTTGACCCATCATCGCAACTGCGGTGCACTACGCGCTGCAAAAAAGTGTCTTCCTTCCACTGGCAAACTGATGCGCGTTCTACCGACTTTCGACTGTATCTAAAAGACGAAAGCCGTGTTACATTTGCCGTGATTATGGTAATGTTGTGTTGAATTTCAAACTGTGCTCGACTGTATCTAAAAGACGAAAGCCGTGTTACATTTGCCGTGATTATGGTAATGTTGTGTTGAATTTCAAACTGTGCTCTTCTTATTCAAAATTTTCTCTGTTGCAGCATCGCGCAAGAAACGCCATGAGTTGGGCTTAACCACAACCATTCTGTTTGTACTTATCGATGCGTTTGCGCGATTCCTCCCCGACCCCAGGTCGCAAGCCGCGCGTGCATGTGTGTGCGCAAGATGACCTGCATTGCAGATTTCTTCTTGCGCATAAGCAACCTGCTACCCAAGTTAACAAACACGCAAACCTACGGAATTTACCACAGTTCGCGGAGGATAGCCCCGCGCCTCCCAACCCCACCCCACCCCCACCCCACCCGGATTGTCACACTGACCCGGCGTACCGGCAGCAAAGCATATCATAGAGAACAATTAGTCCTGGACGGAGGAAGTATCATATAAGGCGTCAATCACAGGACCAACCAAAAGCAACGAATAACAGCTACTGGGACGTCGCAGTGCATTGCGCTGTGCCGCCCTTTGTAAATAGTAGGGAGCTGTATGGATGATGGGGCATACGTATGGAGCATACGTAAGCACCATACTCTGAAAGTATGGAGCTGGACACTGAGGGTCTTGGGGATGTGGTGCTTGGTTGAAGGAGGAACATCGTGGCACTATTTAGCTAAATTAATATTCACAACATTGGGGTGATAGCACACTCGATGAGATGTAAGGATGTGTGATTTTATATGATGTTGAAGTGACTAGTGTAGACCGCACACCCCAATCCCCTACCCCCGCCCCACGCGCTATCTTGCATGGTCCCCGCGCTCAGCGACACCGGACATGTCTGATAACCCAGGGGATGATATCTAAAGGCCCCCGCGCTATTCAACACCTTACACACTATCATCCATGATCTACGGTACATGGAAAAATCAGTTTGTTCATTTTGTGTAAACTTCAATTATCTCCGAACCCTCGCTCTTGTTGAGCCGCGCGATGCTTCTTCAGGTAATATTCCAGCAAAGGACAATTCGTTAATGAGACAGGCTACACTAAAATCAATTCCACATCAGTAGAGAAACAGCCTTCGAAAATGTTTTCGCCTCAACGCACTCGATCGACGCCAGAAACGATATAATTTTGGGGCATTGTTGAATTCAACAACATGTTGGCTTGTCTCATGTGGCCTTCGTGCCATTTTCTAGGAGCGGCTTTATGTGCACATTGCTACAGCGCACCAACGGTCAAGGAGAGGGGGCCCTATATTCCTGGATGAAAACCAGCGGAAAGTAGAACAACTTATCACATTGACTAAGCCTCCCAGCCTAGCACCAATACCTGGTCAATCCTGTCCCCTTGCACGTGCCTGGTGAAGAACGTGAGAGACATGAAACCCCCCTCTGCATTGCCGATGACCTCTGGGGGCACTCCCGCCAGCTCCAAGGGGGGTCCCTTGGCGGGTAGGTGATAGGCACAACTGGGCGCTGCGCCCAGCAGCGGCCCGTGGCGCGCAGTCTCCGCGAATTCTTGCAGGAACGAACAAGCTATGGGGTTGTCTTGGGAATCCGACAGGGCGATGGGAAAAACAACTGTAATGGAATCTTCCTGTTGGCACAGCACGGCGGCACAGCTAGTTTCTTGGAATATGTGTTGCAATTGCTCTTTTAAAACCCATGCAACACTCGATGAACATTGGCAGCTTTCTTGGTGGACATTAGTAATTACGTCTAGCCAAATTTCTGGATGTCTGGAGCAGAATCGGTTGCACTTGTTGGCGGAGCTCTGCTGCTCGCTAGATTCACAGACTGATTACTTTCATGTGACAATGGGGTGGCGGTGAGAAGAAGCACAATGTACTTACAGCATTTCCGCAACACCAGCTTGAATGAGCGAAACCCATAGGACCACACGCCGCAAGCCATTTCCACACATTTCACGCCCAAGACAACCTTCATTCTCCTTCCTAATGGCGACGCTCTCGGATCGTCCCAAGCATCGACTCATGCGTCTGCCATCAAAACCAACCCGTCACCAGGCCAAGACCGAGGCTTGCTCCAAAATCGAACTGCCAACAAAGGCGCCACGCAGTTGCTTCGCTGTTGTTTGTGCTTCACATGCAGAAGTCACAGTGAGGGCCTTGACTGGCCTGACAGCACTAGGGGAAAAAGGGCCAAATAACACATGTTCAAACGTGCACAAAGTTTGTTGGTTTGGGTTATATCCGTGTTTTCAGCATGCAGAACACTGAAGAAATGCATGTGTATGTGTTCCCAAAAAGTGTTATTTGGTACTTGTTTTGCTAGTGCAGGGACCTGACTGGCCTGATTGGCCTGTGACTGGGGCTCCAAAACCACAGACTGCCCTCAGCCCGTGCCAAAATTAAGGCACAGGCTTAGGCCAGCGAGGGCCCAGAGTGTGACTGGCGCTGTTGACGCGCATACGCTCACAGCTGGCATGCGCTCTCCTGGGCAAGCACCTCTGTGAGGGTCCAACTTGTACGGTAGATCATGCGTTGGAAAACTAAGTCTGCTACTAGGCGCGCACAAGGCCCATGTATCTTTTGATAGGACGCGGGAGGCGCCTGGACACTGAAATGCGATGTACTACCGCATATACGCATCGCATGGGACACCGATATGCGATGCGCGATGCGATGCATTTTGGAATCACAGGAAGTCTCGTACTGACGTCAACAGCCCGCACCGCCCGCTGGCCCACCTGCGGCTTGGCGAAGTACGGCTCACCCCTCCCGGTGCGGAACGTCAACACGCTTCCCGCCCTCCCGCGCCCCTCCGCCAGGGCGCCAAAAACTTCCCGCAAAGGCGCCGCC